CGAATTTATTGTAGCAAATAAATATAAATAAACATCAAATAAAAATTATTCAATATTTATTTCACCCCCCTGTATATTAAATTATATAAATATAAAAAAGAAATTGGTTTAAAACACAACTAGCAAAAAGAAAAGAAATGATTTCTAATAAATTGAATTTTAACTCTACATAATAATTCAACGATTAAAATTTGGTATAAAATTTGGTATAATATATTTGTATCAGTGGTAATTTTCTGTGTTCGATCTGCAAATGATCGACATTTTGGGAATCCTTACATTTCTGAAAACGGTTTTCAGAATTCCATATCATTTCTTATGAGGTTGTTAAAAGTTTAGTAAAATTTTGCTTTGACGAGAGGATACAAATGAATTGAAAAAAATTCATTAGAAAGAAAACGATTACATTAATACTTTATTGTTTGTCAGACAATATCTACATACGCAAAATTAAATTTGTGATCATTCTATAATTGTAATTTCAGTACAAATAATAAAGCAATGCGAACATGATTTTCACTTGTGCATTACATTAATATAAGTTCCACAAACACAGAATACGGTAAAAAACGTAACGGGAATTTTTGAATTGATCAATTCAAAAGAGAAAATAACAATTGGAATATAGAATAAAGTAGGTTAATAATTAATTTTCCACATTATTTGCAAACTCAAATAATTTTATTTTCAAGGTTAAAACTATCATCAAAATAATCGACAAAGTTTCCGAGATATTTTTTAAAGAGGGAAATTCCTGAATAGTTCGTGTTACAAATACCGGTATACTCCTTGTTTCGTGTCCGTTACATTGAAATCCAGGTAAGTTTCAAATAAGAAATTCCAAAATAAACAAACAATTTTACAATCTATTTTTGTGCTTTCGAGTATTTGTGTCTACAATATAAATGAAAAAAACAAAGTTATTAGGTATTGGAATTCTGGCGTTGCAACAACGGATGTTGTTCATTAAATAGTTATAATTTACATCTTAATACAAAAAAGAGACGGTCAAATGAAACAACGGTGTTTGATGTAACTTTTTTATGAAATTTCCTTTCTTTCTGGCCGTGATTTACGATACGCATGAACCTTTAAAAGATAATGAAACGCTACCCAATTTGGATTTATGCCTACGTCACTACGAAAAAAACGGAAATATTCGCATAAAATATTTCGTGTGCTGATAGATTACGTGAATCACACACAGCAATAAGCGAAATCAATCGAAGAGTCGATTCACAATTTTTGTGTATATTAATTTTGGAGAAAACGATCTCGTCAGCATAAATGGAACTCACATTATATTTAAGGACAAGCCCGTATCGTGGCATAGTTATGGCGCAGCCTTACTTTACACTTATTTAATCGAATGAACCCTAATTTTCATGTAAGAGCATGTGATCCTAAAAGGTGAAAGCTTGAAAATTGCATGTTTGTCACGTGACTTGCGAATACGAAAAAAAAGATCGTCAATTAATTTGTAACATTTGTTATAATGATTTTTTTTTTGTTGCCATATGCAATTTGAAGATTATCGGAGACCCCATATCAATCCTATACTAATACGTTTTGTTACACGACAATTACATAATCTAGCGTATGACATTTTAATTCCTTATTTGTCATGAATTAAATTTTAAATAATTTTTCTAATCCTTTCTCCTCTCTAAACGTTCAACCTACCATAAAAGCAAGGAAAAATGTCTCGTTCAACGCCAGAAATCATAGAAAACATTTATGAGTACATCGGAACGGATTATGTCACTTTACGAAACATGGTTCTCGTCAATCGTAATTGGTGCAAAGTGGGAATTCCGTATTTATGGAAAGCCCCATTTAGTATCGACAAAACGAATTCCATAAAACAAGTTCAAATTATTTCGACTTACCTTTCATTCCTCAACGACAAAGAGCATAAATTTTTCCCGGTACAAAAGAGGACATGCTTATTTAATTATCCTATTTACCTGAGAGAGTTGGAAATCGGTAACCTATTTTACATGATCGTTAGATGGATTTACCAAAGAAAAATCAAATTTGTCTATTACGAGAACACCGAACATTCGAATTACTTTAATAATATGATGGAAGAATCCGAAGATTATGATAATGATGGGAATATCGAGTATGAATATTATTATTATACCTATTACAAACCAACGGAATTGGTCATTGCAATCTCCATCTGTAAGCTAATAATTAAATCCAATGCGTACATAGAAAATTTGAGCGTAATTAAAACCACTTATAATGATCCTTCTTTAATTGATGAATTATTAATTGAGTTACTCAATTCTCCGGATACGAAGAACAGTCTGAAAAATTTGAAATCTTTAATCTGCGGTTCCTTAGTTACGGGAAACGTCTTGACATCTTTAACAAGCATGTGTCATAACATTACCAAGGTTGAAAGTAAGTCCACAAAGGATTCAACTTTTAAAAAGTTAACCGCCTTAATTCAAAATCAAATCTCTTTAAGGGAATTCACCTTGGAGGATACCAAATCCGACACAACGACGACCATTGTAAACCTGGAACGTCATATCAATTCCCTACTATGTGTGAATTTGAAGGATATTATCATTTATAGGCATGCATCAATTAAATCCTTGGTGAAATGTATAAATTTAGAAAAATTACATCTCGAAATTTATTTTCACAACTTCAGGGGGGTTAACAATAAGGAAATCTTGAAACCATTATTGGACGCACAGTTTTTTCATTTAAAAGATTTTAATTTAACCTTATTAGGTGAAAAAACTCATGATGATTTGGTACTATATGACATATTGGAAGTTGTGTTAAGGAATTGTGACGAAAATTTGGAGAGATTGACTCTCGGTATTAATTTTAATATTAATTCGGAAATTTTTCGTATAGTTTCACAACTTTGTCCAAATTTAACGACTCTTAAATTATTTATCCAAGAGGATGAGGATTTGTCTGATTTATTGATCCTTTTGCCCAATCTCACAAACCTGAAAACGTTAATCATGACGAAAAAACCTTGGATTGAAGACGTGCTTAACGTTTATAATAATCCTATCTTTAAACAAATTAGTTTTGTCCTTCCTTCAACTGTAAATATTTTAATCATTGATGGAATATTGACATTTGAATTCATGCAAAATTTTATACGATTATTTAGAGGTTATATTAAAGAATTCGAGTATAATATTTTTGCTAATAATTATGATGAAGAAATCGAGGCTCATAAAAATCTTTTGAGGAATTATGGTGATATGCTTATTAATAATGAAAAGGCTATCAAAATTGATATTTCCTCTAATTATTATAGGCATAAAATGGTTTTCAGGGCTTATTACTTTTAAAAAAAATGTATCAATATTGATTTTGATAATGATTTTTTTTTTTAAAAAAAAAAAATTATTTTAAAGGTCGTTTTGATCGTAAAGTTGTCGATTTATCAAACCTACAAAAGGGTTTTACATCTCATTTTATTACATCAAAGCATTAAAAAAAAAAATTTTATTTAAAATATTTTTATGTAATTTAAATTTCTTTTATTAATATTGTTATCCGCGTATTACAAATTGTGTTGATTATCATTTAATAAAAAATCAAAACATAACGGGGTGATTTCAATTTCAAGTAAATAATTCTGATATGTTATGTCTCCCAATAGATTGTAAGATTAAATTTTCAACTTGAAAATAATTTAAATCAAATAATATCGTTAATCTTCGACAGTGATGAATATATTTATGTTCATTAATAATTTTCTGGAATCTTTACTTATAAGCATTAGCACGGGTAACGGTTTTTTGATTATAATCACTTGTTTAGTAAAAATATATCCAAACTCAGTGTTGCGACGCTTCTAAACATCATATAAATTAACATATGCAAGTCCGATAATACAAATAAAAGCAATTTATGACATCAGATTGTGGACGTATAGTCATAAAAAAAGGCCTCAGTTTTTCTTTTCTCTTTGTCCAGAATAGAGTACTACATGAACCTTTGTTTCATTTAAAATGGTTTCAAGGATCTCTTAAACTTTGTGATTAGCTACTTAAAAAGTATATAAAAGAAAAGCCAATTGTGCTTTTACTAATAAAAATTTGGTGGATGATTTATTAAAATAAAATTAAATGTTCAAACCACAAATTTGTCAATCGTGCCGAGGATCATTATTTAGATACTGTATTTAAGTAATTCCAGGAATTTTTTTATTATTCGTCAATCAAAGAATTATCGTATTACATGTAGTATTCATCAAAAGTGAAAAATGTTCAAATCCTTCAAGTTTATTTTTAATTTAACACCATCAAATGTTTATATTTAAATAAAACGTATTCTAATTTTGCCCGAGATCGTCGTTAAAAGATGTTATACTTAGTTGGGAAAAAGCCCCGTGGTTGTCCCCTCGGCTAATTCAGAAACAAAATTTACAAATTTTCTGAAGTTGCGTCCGAAAAATTTTTTATCAAAATACAAACAATATTTTCTCCCGCAAAAAGCTTCAAAGAATAGAAAAATTTGTCGATCCTCAAATGATATTAAATCAAATATGATTATTATAAATCATTTAGAAAAAAAAACAATTTGAAGAGTCAGATTATCAGAAAATTATAGCAAAATGAACAATTTAAATAAAATTAATTTAATAAATAACAATGTTTAATATAGATTAAATAGAAACCTATTTATGATTCATTAGCTTTAAAACCATATTAAAAATATTTGATAAAGATTGGTTAGTTTTTTGAATATTACAAATATAAAACTTCTGAAATTCTTCTTTTCTATTGATATAATAGTAAAAATATTAGAATTTCAGTAATAAAAAGCCTTTTTAACCAATGAAATAATTTTATAAGATATTAAATATAAAGTAATATTTAATTAAAAATTTCTTATAAGTATAAAGTATAATAACTTAAGATTATAATTATAATTATAATAGTAAAATTTCAAATTAAGATCAATTTTTTATAGTAAATAAGTAAACTTTATTTATATTTATTATTTGATACTAAAGATTTAATAATGTATAAACTTTAATTTTATTATTATACTATCAATCATTTGTTTTATTCTAAAGTTAATCAAATTATTTTTTTTATAAATAATATATAAACATATTTTTGTTAATCATATTAATTATAAATGAATTATTAATTTAATACTTTATTGTTTATAAATTAATATTTATTTATTTTTATTTTTTATTATTATCAAAAATACGAAGTTTAAAGATAAACAATTTGATATAATTAGTTTAAATTAGTTACTTTAAAAGAAATAAATATTTTCTTTATACTATTCTCAAAAGTAAATAATATTAAGTAATATATATTATATAATTTAAAAATTAATGATTATAACAGATTTTTAAAAGTATTTTACATTACATTTAATAATATATCAAGTAAATTAGATTAAAATAATATAATCTGAATTTTTTTTTTTATTAAAATATTGTCTAATTAAAATTTTTTTTTTTATAATATTTATAAAATTACTAATTTAATATATATATATATATATATATAATATAAGTATTTTATAATAAAAATACTACCAAAAAAATTTTATAAATTAATGTTAAATTTATTTTATTAAAAAAAAATAATATTTAGCTTATAAAGTAAAATTCTTTTTATAAAATAATATTTGATCATTATAAAAGGTAAAAGTAAAATTATTAATAAATATTAAATCTAATATTTAAATTATATTTAAAAATTAATACTAATTAATTTTAACTAGATAATTAACTAATTTATGAAATATTTTAACTGATAATTAATTGGTTAAAGATTTTATGCTAGTTCTAATTTTTAATTATGTTTAAATCATTTTAAATAGTAAGTATTGTTTTAATAAAATATAAATATTTTACAATTATTATATTAGAATAAATGAAATTCATAAATATATATTTTAGCTTTGATAACTAATTATAAGAACTATTATAATTTTAAGAAATTCTATTAATTTTTTAGCTTATAATAACTTGCATATTTATATTCATATTTTAATAAAATATGTATAATATCTTATTTTAATTATAGAATAAAGTATTTGAAATAGTTAATTTTTTATTTTTTTTTATTTATATTTTTTGTTTTATTATTTTACCTTTTTAATTCTTAACTTTATTTTTTTTATATATCTTTATATTATAAACTTTCAAATGGATTAATAAATATATAAATATTAAATACTAACATATTTTTAAAAATTGAATTATTTTCAAATATTATAAAAGTCTTTTAATATATAATAATTTTAAATAGCTAATTAAGAATTTATAATTTTATTTTATAAATCAAAAAGTATAAAGATTAATATACCAATATATCTATAATAAAAAAAGTTTTTTAAAAATTAATTTAAACTCTTTCAATTTTAAAATCTTTATAATTACTTTTAACTAATAAAATATCATTCATTTAATTTTTTATATACTATAAGCTTATTAAGATATATTTTTTAAAACCTAATAATAACTTTAGAGTTAATATTATCTTTAAATATTTGCAATAATTTATCTTTGATAGGTATCAATTTTAGCAATTATACCTTTTAAAATTAATTAAATTTCCTTAATTGGTTGAAGTTCATAATAGTAAGATAAAGTATAAAGCAAATTGTGACTATACTTATTAGCTATTTAAATATATATAAAAGAAATATTAGGTTTATTTTATTTTACTAATTCATAAAGTTCTGCTTTACTAATATTTTTGAAATGTTAATACCTGCTGATAATAACTATATAACTATTATATTCTTCTTGAGTTTAATGTCATTACTTATTTAATTTATATTTATAATATCTAGTACTATTTATATGAATTACAATTAATTTATAACACATTTTTGATATTAGCAAAAAGTTTATCGAAAAGATTTTTAAATATTTTAGCTGTAAAATTATTATAATAATTAAAATAATTTATCACAATATTTGAATTCTGAATAATATCAGAAATATTAATCCATTTATCAGCATTTGCTTATTTTCTTTCTCTAAAAAAAAGTGGTTTAATTAATAGATCCTATAATAAAAGAGAATTAAGAATAATTTTACTAAAGTATTTATTAATATTACCATTACGCATATAAAAAATGTACTAAAAATAATAATTAGAGATTTATGTATAACTTTATATATAACCCTATGATTTTATATCTAAGTATGACCTGTAGTATAATATAAATAATAATAAGACTTATCTAAAAATATCTCTAATTTAGTTGAAACTTTATTTTCACCTTATAAATTTTAAACTGATATTGTAAATAAATATTACAAAAAGTCATATTTTTAAGTGATTCATGTAACATATAGGAACGTTAATAAAAAAAAGAAAATTTAACTTTTAGTCAAAAATTTTTTTATTAGTTTACTTTGCTAATTATAATTATATGAATTAAACTAGCTTAATAATTAAAATTATTTAAAATTTGTAGATTTTTCACTTTTTCTATTAACTGTTTCATATTTTAACATTCACCATTACTAGTCAAAATCAAAAAAATTGGATATGTAAAAAATCGGCCTAAATTCAGCCTAAATTTAGCAAATTATCAAAAAATCAGCCTAGCTGATTGGCATACACTAGAAATCAGCTAAGAATCGGCTGAAATTCGACCTATTTTATTTATAGTAGATTGGCATACTTATTATCGATTAGCATACGTTAAAAATCAGCTAAAATTTGACCTATCTTATTCATAGTCAATTGACGTCTGATTTACATCCGATTGATATACATCAAAAATAGACTAAAATATTTCAAAATAAAATAAAATTCAGAAGGAAAT